GACCAGTTAAAATGGTGGCCTGCGCCGGGCCGGGCCTGGGCTTCACGCACAAATGTTCGGAACAAGCCGGCCTTAGGAACTCCTCTCTCTCTCTCATTATTACTCTGGTAATGGACCTGTTGATTACTTCACGCACAAATGTTTGGAACAAGCCGGCCTTAGGAACTCCGCTCGCTTGAGTACCTGCACAGGTAGGCAGGCGATCAAGTTTTGGAGAGCACTCAGCGCAGCTGCTTTGCAACGTTGTTAGAGAAGCAGGCAATCAAGTTTTGGAGAGCGCTCAGCACGACTACTTTGTAACGTTGTCAAAGAAATAGGAACCAGGGTCCCCTTTTTAGGGGGGACCTGGGACACAGTTGCCGCAACAAGGAAAATAATCAAGGTCGTCCGTGGTAGTCGGAGCCCTGGGCTCCTCTACTTCATCCCCTATTAAAAATAGGGTGGAGAGCCCAGGGGCCGCCTTACCTGAGGACCTGTGGCTCCCCAGGACTGATATCAAGGGCAAAGGCGTATATTGAGATTAATTCTAAGGAAAATCACAAAGGCCAACCTCATTTTCCATTGTTCAAGTTGTGAGTAAGGCTGTGTTCATTCTAACTTCTTCCCAACTCCCTCCACCTCGTTTTTCGCACGCATGATTCCCAAACTACTAAATGGTGCATTTTTTTAAAAAAGCTTATATACAAAAGTTGTTTTCAAAAATCATATTAATCTATTTTTTTAAAAAAATAGTAAATATTTAATTAATCATGAGAAAATGCGTCGCTCCGTTTTCCATGCGAAGAGGAGGGGTCTCAACCCCTCCAAAATAACACAACCTAAGTGGAGCTTATAGTTCTATATAGATGTTCAATCTTAACTGGTCTCTATCGAACCGCTGCTATATATATAGACAATACATTGGAAAAAGGCAAATTTCTGTCTGACTTTGAGATTTGGTGAGGGTTGTTGGAATTTATATGTGGGCTAAGACCCATATGAAGATTAATTTTTAGAAAAATCACAAAGGCTGCTCTCCTAACCACTTGAGCCTTTTGTGGTGGAAAGAACAAGATGAACACGCGTGCTCTTGCTAGCCTCACCTCGCCTCGCTAGGCCAGGCCAAGCTCGTAAGTGACATGCGTGTGAATGGTCTGCTAAAACTGGCATGTCATGCTTGCGCAGATGTGGTTTGCTTTTACAGTTTTGTTTTGCTGTAAAAATTGGTATTTGTTTCCTAATATGTTATATGATAGTACTCAATCGGGACTCTAGGTCCTGTCACATAACACAAGCCAACGTTACAACCGAGTTATACTCTATTACGTAATATATGGATCTAGCCAACCTCTTATCTCTTATCTCTAGTAAGATATGCAGGTCGAATGGGTACCCGGTATCCATATCAGTACTACAAAATTATCTCTGGTTAATGGCAACGACATATATCCGCTAGCTATCGTGTTTTGTATGCGCTTGGCTTAGCATCGAAGCCATGCAATGCATCTCTGCTTTTATACTTTCGGTTGAATGTCCTGTCAGCTAACAGAATCACGCAAAAAAAAAAAAACACTAACACAATCACGCGTCGGATGCATTATGCATGCAAGCACTATAGACGCGTCGGATCCTTCTTTGTTGGCTAGCTATAGAGGCCTTTAGCTGAGCTTCCTGGTGTGGTGTACTGGATGGACCCATGGATGCATGATGCTGATGCACACCCAAGTCAAGCTTGCTGCTTGGTAGCGAAGGAAGAGTCAAGTAAAGGCGATAACAAGGCTATCTTTCAATATCCTCTTTAGGAGCATTTTCTTTTCAGAAAGACAAACCATCCTCCGTTCATTGCGCGTTCATATTATGTCGCAGGTTTAATTATGTCGCTGGCATCTTTGTGAAGAAAATACGTACCGCAATATTTAATAAAGCCAAATTGCATGTTCCAATATTGGTTGTGATTTTTCTCCGAGTAATTTAACTTGATTATTGTAGCATGTCTGTTACGCCCTTTGTTGCATAAATTTTGATTTACGACAAACCTAAAACATCTAGTAATAGTTTTGGGTAATGCTTTTGCTACTAGTTTTTCTTTGGCCATACTTGCCTGATTGTTTTGACCTATGGGTGTGTTTAGTTCACATCAAAATTAAGTTTAGTTAAAATTAAAACGATGTGATGAAAAAGTTGAAAGTTTGCGAGTGTAGAAAAGTTTTAATGTGATGCAAAAGTTGAAAGTTTAAAGAAAAAGTTTGAAACTAAACTCGGCCAATGTATTGGGAGTTATACTGAGAAGTACAACAATATAGATATGTTGGTACCTCTCGAAAACACCTACTCCCTACGGTTCTAATTTAATACCTCTTGAAAACACCTACTAACCCTGTTCGTGAAGATAAAGTTAGAGTATGGAAATCGAGAAAACTATCAGGGCATAAAATAGTTAAGTTTAATAGTTCGAAAAGTGTCTTAACGAAAATCAAGGTAAAATTTGTATGTTAATTAGAAGTGAACCTGTATATGAAACCTCTCCTGGCATGTGCACTGCCTGTAGGAAGTTCCACAGATGATTGAAGCGTGTCAAATCCTCAACTTAATTTCTAAATTAGAAAACAGCTTATATTCCTAGAAATCATATTTTGTGAAATTGGAAGTTCCTCCGGTCTTTAAGCACTATAGTTCTTGTTAAAAATATTTATAATACTAACAAAGATGATGTATTAACAAAATGTGTTACATCCTAATTAAATACTCCCTCGGCTTTTTAATATAATACGACATAGACTTTTTGAGATACATACATATTCATTTTATTATAAAATTATGTAATTATGATTTGATTTATCATCAAATATTTTCTAAGTATGACTTAAATATTTTTATATTTTCATAAAAGTTTTGAACAGGACGAATGACCAAATGTTTATAAAAAGTTAATAGCGTCATATATATTAAAAAATAGAGGTAGTACATATAAGCATTAAGTTTTGAGTTTTTTTTTAGAGAAAAGGCCAGCGGCCCAGTTTCGCTAGGGAGACCAGCTTTACATAGGGTTCATTACAGCCAGACAAGAGAGAAAACAGGGGAGAACCCCGGCAGCAACGAGCTCTGAAGACTACCCTTAGACCCTGTTTAGATGGGACTAAAACTTTTAATCCCTATCACATCGAATGTTTGGATACTAATTATAAATATTAAATGTAGACTATTAATAAAACACATATATAATCTTGGACTAATTCGCGAGACGAATCTATTGAGTCTAATTAATCCATGATTAGCCTATGTGTGATGCTACAGTAAACATTATCTAATTATAGATTAATTAGGCTTAAAAAATTTGTCTCGCGGATTAACTTTCATTTATGTAATTAGTTTTGTAAGTAGTCTATATTTAATACTCTAAATTAGTGCTTAAATATAGAGACTAAAGTTAAGTCCCTGGATGCGAACACTACTGCAATAGACACAAAAGCAAGACGAGCTAAACACAGCATTTCAGTTCTGTAGGATCATCTCAAAGCTACACAAGGGAGACAAGACTAATGACATCAACTCCTTTTTTTTCTGTCCTTCTGGCTGTCAGCAAAACGCTGAGGAAGATTGATGAGGGTGTTAGGTCCCGATCTTTCGATAGGTGTTCATAAACGGTTGATTTGAGCGGAGTCATGACATAAATCGATCCAGCCAGCTTCTGAACGAACACGCTACTGAGCCCCGCAATCACAGCACCACGTCTCCTCTGGTTATCAACCGTACCGAAACCCGATTGACCTCGCCGAGAAGGTTAATCCCTATATGCGAATCGAAGAACACTAGCAAGAACAAGATATATTGCAACCAAATTGCATATGAATGATTAAGCACTCAAATTTGGGGTTCCACAAACCGATCTAACGGCGAAACTGTTCTTGATAGATTAATCTAAGCAAAACCCCCTCTAAACGATGACGGCTACTGAATAAATATAATTAGGGACGTCCTAGGGTTGCTCTAGGGTGCACACCCCCTTGGGCTAAGCCCACGACACAATTTCAAGGCCTATAACCCAAATCAGATTCGAACTGGATAAGGTACGTGGCTTGTTTTACAGATTCTCGGCAGCTCAGTAGGAATTTTGACATGGGACCAAAACCATCTGAAAGTAGACTCCATAAGATTTCCAAGAAGTACTCATGGGCCCCGAAATTCCTTCTAGATCAACGGGTAGGTCCGTTTGAAGTTGATGCTGTCAGGATGCCCGAATCCGAATCGAAAACGTGTAGAATTTTATCTCTGGTCTTCTATGGACCAAAAGTGACGTGGTGAGGTAGAAGTAGACTTGAAAGAGATCTTGGTTTGGTCCCCAATCAACTTCTTTGATCATCCATGCATTCGTTACACTCGGTCTGTTTTCCTTCGCTCAAGCAAGTACCTCTGCAAACGAAAACACAAAAACTCACTGTGTAGCAACGTTTGTTTAAATATATAACAAGTAAATCTAATATAGAACATATGCACCTTTGGTTGATTAATATATAAGGTAGTTATGGTTATATCCGAACTAGTTGTGCCCTTACGAAAGATTACCCTACTCCAACTCAGTTCAGTCACAACTCTTCACCTACGATCTTGAGGCGTCCTGTCAGGCGCTCCATCTCACCAGTCTCCCCCTTCTTGCAGCGAGGTTTCCACTGAAACAAAAGAGAGTTAATTTGGAAAGGGATAGTTTTGAGTGCTTATGGGTAATCTGACAGTTTAAAATATTATTAATGATCAAAGCTGAAACATTATCGATCAACAGTGACTATTTGGGAAAACAAGTGGTAAACTCAGGTATACACTTTCCATACAATCTATTTTGCTATGGATGTGTTTAGTTCCACACCAAAATTAAAAGTTTGAATAAATTACAACGATGTGATGAAAAAGTTGGAAGTTTATATGCGTAGGAAAGTTCGATGTGATGGAAAAGTTGAAAGTTTGAAAAAAAAAGTTAAAATCTAAACAGGATCGTAGTGGAGTAGTATATATAGAACTCGAAGCCTGGACCCATTGTAGTCCTGGCCTGAAGTACTGGAGAGAAAAATTAATTAAGCAGCTTCTTCCATTCAGACATAGGTCGATCCATCGCGATTCTTCCATGGACGTCGACGAGCTGTTGTTGATAGCAATCAGCCATGGAAACAACGAAGACGGTAGCGACGGGGTTGTCGGGATATCGGACGAGGTGTACGCCGCGGAGCTCCAGCTCCAAGAGTTGATCATGTCGTCCGCCATGGCGGCCACCGCTGCGGCGGCGGCAGATCAGCTTGACAGCGGTAGCGCCGTCCACGCGTCGAGCGAGGACGCAGCAGCTGCAGCTCATGCGAAGACGTCTCCATCCTCCGCTCTCGTCCCCGCCGCCGAGTGCTCGTCCTCCTCGGCAGCGGCCATGACCCTTGTCGCCAGCGTCGTCAAGTGCTCCTGCTCCTCGTCAGCTATGGCACCGTCGGCCACCACCACGTCGTTCCTCTTCTGCAAGATCTGCATGGACGACGTGCCGGCGTCCGACGCGCACCGCGGCAGCCACGGCTGCGCGCACGCCTTCTGCGCCGCCTGCCTCGCCGGCCACATCGCCGCTAAGCTCCACTCCGGCGGCGGCGTCTACTGCCCCGAGGATGGCTGCGCCAGCGCGGTCGACCCGGAGCTCTGCCAACCCATCCTCCCAGAGGACAACTTCGAGCGGTGGTGCGCCGCGCTGTGCCGGGCCATGGTGCTCGGAGGCCGCCACGTGTACTGCCCGTTCACGGACTGCGCAGAGATCATCGCCGACGAGCGGGGCGGCGACAGCGACGGCCAGCCGACGGAGTGCCCGGCGTGCCGGAGGCGGTTCTGCGAGCGGTGCGGCGTGGCGTGGCACGGAGGCGTGAGCTGCGGCGAGTACGGGGAGCTGGCGGTGGGGGACAGGGGGGAGGGGGACCTGGCGGTGGTGGAGATGGCCAAGGGGAGCAGGTGGCGGCGGTGCCCGCGGTGCAAGTTCTTCGTGGACAGGTACGAAGGCGGGAAACTATTTTAAACTTTATCCGCATGTCATTCCGATCGTTATAAAATATATTTTAAAAAAATCAATAGCATAGGTTAATACTATCTCCGTCCTAAAATAAGTGCAATTTTGCACTATTTATCTTCAACGTTTGACCGTTCGTCTTATTTGAAAATTTTTTATGATTACTATTTTTATTGTTATTAGATGATAAAATATAAATGATACTTTATATGTAACTAATTTTTTTAAAAATTTTTATAAATTTTTTAAATAAGACAGACGGTTAAACGTTGGACACGGATTTCAATGACTGCACTTATTCTGGGACGAAGGTAGTATATGATAAATCGCTTAAATTCAAATTTAACTTCAGGTACGAAGGCTGCTCGCACATCACCTGCAGGTGCGGGCTGGAGTTCTGCTACGGGTGTGGCCAGGAATGGGGGCCTACTGGTCATTCCTCGTGTCAGCGACCTTGAAACACCTGGATGGTCGGGATTCGGATGCTGGACATGCCCCGTCAGTCAAACTATTATAACTAGTGTTATGTTATCACCTGTTAATCTGCTATCTATCCGAATTTAATTCATCTTAGGTTTAAATCTCGGTGCCAGCTCTTTACACCTAAATTTGGTATCTAGTAATTATAGTCGTTGAGATAGATAAAAAACAAGTGTGCAGTCCAACTATTTTTTACTATTGCTAGTATTGTTAGCTGTTTTCTATCCAATTTAATTGGTGGTTTAAGTCATGTATTATTTTTTTTTGAGAATTTATGTCATGTACTCATATCTTAGATATGCTCTGTTTGTCACATTTTAATTACCTTTGTGACTTCACAGAGTGCCAAATTTATAGTACTTATCCGAGTATTCCCTAGCTACTACTTTCAGCACGCATGAGTATGATTAACTTTTCAAGATATAATGGAGTATGATTAATTAGTCAGTACATTAAACTCAATGTATATGTTTTCTCTAACTATTTTAGATAATGAAATTGGTAATTCCCAGGCCTTATAACTAGTACAATGATACACACAACTGGAAATTAACCTCTATTTATCCCCACGTGGGCAACCGCGCCTCCACCCCCTCCCCGTCCTCGCCCTCGGAAACCGCACAGCGAAACATCGGTGAACGGGCAGTAGACGTGGCGGGCTCCGAGCACCATGGCTCGGCACAACGCGCTCGAAGGTGTCCTTTCGCAGAGCTCCGGGTCGGCCACGCCGGCGCAGCCATCCTCGGGGCAGTAGACGCCGCCAGAGTGGAGCTAGGCGGTGATGTGGCTGGCGAGGAAGGCGGCGCAGAAGAAGAAGGCGCGCACGCTGCCGTGGCTGCTGCTGTGCACGTGGGACGTCGGCACGTCTTCCATGCATATCTTGCAGAAGAGGAACGACGTGGTGGGGACGGACGGCGCCATAGCTGACGAGGAGCAGGAGGACTTGACGACACTAGCGACAAGGGTTAGGGCCGCAGCTGCGTCACCGGCCTGTGGGGCCGAGGAGGACGGGTACTCGGCGCTCGGAGAAGAGAGGAGGACGGCGTCGTCTCCGCATGTATTCACCTCACACCTTAATCCCACCTCTGATTACATGGAGGATGGTGGTGGGCCAGCGTTTGCGGTGGGGGCATCTCGCCGCCTGTGGCTCGAGGAGGGAGGAGAAGGGAGAGGGAAGAGTAGGGAGGGGGAGGAGGTCGGCGGGCGATAGGGGAGCTCGCCAGTGCTGTTAACGCCTTCCCGCTAGCCAATGAGGCCGGGCGGCAACGGCGGAGGCGGAGGCGCGGCGTGGATCGCGCGAGAGCGCTAGGGAGCGGCAGCGCGGTGTCGGGAGAAAGGAGGATAAGGAGATTTTTAGGATTGGGTTTCTCTGCACAAATCTTAAAGTAATCAAGTGGTCTAGAAGAATTTGTAAGATTTTTAGGGGGTTTGTTGTCAAATGATGTATAGACAGTCCCTACAACGGAACTCATGGCTTTCACCGAGAATGCTCAACGTCGGGGGTGCGGGGGGAGGGGAGAAAAATCGGTCGCTCCCCCCTCCCCCCATCACGTGTGCACCTGGACCCCCACCACATATCTCTTGTCCTCACCTGCTACTTATCCACACAAACAACTCCATTGCAACAAATCACCCATATATTTTGGAAACCCTAAGGGAATTTGGTTTATTTTTTGTTCCGCTAAAAATATTTCACCTAGTGTACTCATAATGTTTCATTATATATAGATCTAATGTTGCAGTGAACTGAAATATTCCATTGCAACATAAAACCCATATATTTTGGAAACCCCCTATTAAGGAAATTCGTTTTACTTCTTGTTCCACCGAAAAATGTTTTACCTAGTGTACTTATAATGTTTCACTATGTATGGATCAAATGTTGCAGCGAACTGAAACATTCTTTCGCTATTTGCTGAAACATTGTTTTTATATAAGGTAAAACAACACCCGATTTAAACGAGTAAAATATTTTCGATCTACTTAGTGAAACAATTCCGATATACCTAGTGGAACATCGTGCAACATTTAAAAATAATTCAATAATAAGCTAAAAAAAATTTCGTCGGAATATATCAATGCGTGGTCTTGTTTTGAAGATTTAATTACAACGAATTTAATGATGCAATCGGATCATAATTTGAATCAGAATAAGTAATTTAAGAGAAAAATCAGTTTAAAATATTTTACACATAAATCGGGCGCGACGTCAGCGCCCGATTTTTCTCTAAACCGATTGGACGCTCGACCCGTAGACTCATCCCGCTTTCACTAAGCATACTAACTCACACATGCGTATCACTAACACACTACCGCTGTGCCGCCGCCGCCGCAGCGGTGGCCGCCATGGCGGACGACATGATTACCTCTTGGAGCTGAATCTCCGCGGCGTCCACCTCGTCCGATATCCTGACAACCCCGCCGCCATCGTCTTCGTTGTTTCCATATGGCTGATTGCTACCAACAAAAGCTCGTCGACGTCCATGGAAGAATCGCGATGGATCGACCTTTGTCTGAATGGAAGAAGCTGCTTAATTTCTTCTCCTCTCCAGTGCTCCAGGTCAGGACTAAAATGGGTCCAGCCTTCGCCTTAGGCCATGTTTAGTTTTCAAACACAAATTTTTCGCCATATCAAATCGGATGTTTAGACACATGCAAGTATTAAATATGGAAAAAAACTAATTACATAAATTGAATGCAGATAGCGAGACAAATTTTTTAAGCCTAATTGCGTCATGATTTGACAACATGGTGCTATAGTAAACATTTGCTAATGAAAAATTAATTAGGCTTAATAAATTCGTCTCGCAGTTTTCAGACGGAATTTATAGTTTGTTTTGTTATTAGACTACGCTTAATACTTTAAATATGTGTCCGTATATTCGATGTGATACGCTAAAAATTGTTGTTCGCGAACTAAACAGGCACTTGTGTGTGTGTGTATATATCACATGTACCCACAATCTGCACCTTATATGTAGCTTGCACGAATCTTAGGGCAAGTATATTAGGTGCTAACAAAATGTAACATGCATGATGTTTACGTTATACTATATTTTTTACAAGTGTAAAATACCTTGTTTATGTAATTTTTGTATTTCTTGTATGCAAAACTTGTTCATGTACTTTACCTTGTTTATATAAATTACCTTGTTTATGTAGTTTTTGATGGTAGGATATATATCATTTTGTAAGTATTATTTTTGCAAGATGACAATTTGGTGATATAGTAGATATATTGTTTTCTCATTTTGACTAAATATCATGTTATAAACAAAATAAGGGTTAGAGAAATACAATGCACTAGATATATAAATGTCATATATATGATTATTATTGAAAAAAAATATTTGGTAAAAAATACAACATACATGTTATACATATTGTGAACCAACCTAATTCTAATCTTTTCTCCTTATAGCAATCATTCATTTGGTTAAGGTTAGGTACATTTTGCAGCACGTATCTTGGAACTTGTTATATTACAATAGTCAAGATAATTACTCGGACAAAAATCACAACCAATTGGAACATGCAATTTGGCTTTATTAAATATCACAGTATTTTCTTCACAAAGACGTCCGCTACGTAATTAAACCTGCAAGATAGAAAAGCATTTCTTCTCCGATAGTAATATGAACGCGCAGATGAAAGGAGGACGGTTTGTCTTTCTGAAAAGAAAATGCTCCTAAAGAGGATGAAAGATAGCCTTGTTATCACCTTTACTTGATTCTTCCTTCGCTACCAAGCAGCAACCTTGACTTCGGTGTGCATCATGCATCCATGGGTCGTCCATCCAGGACACCACACCAGGTGGCTCAGCTAGCCAACAAAGCAGGATTTAGGTCCCGTTCTTTTCTCCAATAAGAGTTGGATGAAGATTAAGATTTTTTAGTATATTTTTCAAACTGCTAAACGGTACATTTCGCGCGAAAACTTTCTATATGAAAGTTACTCTAAGATATCATATTAATCTATTTTTCAAGTTTGTAATAATTAAAACTCAATCAATCATACGTTAATATCACCTCGTTTTGCATAAAAAACTTAATCTTCATCTACAGGAGAAAAGAACACCACCTTAGTGCCTGCATGCATCCGACGTGTGATCGTGTTAGCTGACAGGACATTCAACCGAAAGTATAAAAGCACCGATGCAGGATGGGAGAAGGAGAACGTTCCAGAGCCTGCTCGCCCAATCGCCTGTCCACGTCATACGGGCAAGACATAGTAGACGACGAACGATGGCGCAGTACAGAGGAGGATGCAAATCTTAGATTGTTTTCATGTATATTGCTTAGATGTGACGGCTCGGTTTATATAGAGATAACAACACACATGATTAGGATGCCAGCACAATCTCCATAACGCATAACCGAACCAGATAAGTCGCGTATAACCAATCCACTCCACGCACTGGATAACCCGGTGTGTTTAAGTTTTCAAAAACAAACACTCATTTTTGCAACAAAACAAAACTACAAAAGGAAGTCGCGTCTGCGCAAGCATGAGGTGCCAATTTTGACGGACCACGCACACGCATGTTGCATATGCGTCTGGCCTGGAGAGGCGAGGCGAGATCTTCTAGTTCGTTCTACCACATATGGCTCAAGTGACTAGAAGAGCACTATCCCTAATAAGGATATCTCTCTTTCTTACAATAAGCAAGGTGATTCTAAATGTTCAGATGCAACCCTTCTCATGAGGTGGGTCTTTGTAATTTCTTTTCTAAAAATTAATCTCCATATGGGCCTTAGCCCACTGGAAATTTCAACAATCCACACCAAATCTCAAAGTCATATAGAGATCTGCCTTTTTTTTTTTAGAGATCTGCCTTTTTTAACGTACTGTTTATATACCAACAATTTGACAGAGACTGGTTAAGATTGAACATCCATCTAGAACTACATGCAACACTTACTCATAACTTGAACAATAGACAATGAGGTGGGCCTTTGTGATTTTCCTATGAATTAATCTCTATATAGGCCTTACCCCATATATAATATGGACAGGTTTCATTAAATGTAACATTGAATATGTTTTGATAATATGTTCGTTTTGTGTTGGAAATATTGCTATATTTTTCTATAAACTTAGTAAATTTGAAAAGATTTGACTAGTGACTTATAATATGAAATAGAGGAAATAGTTTGTGAGGTGAGGTCTCATCCTGATTTACAGTTGTATATTTATGACCTTCCACGATGCCCACAAGTAATGGGAGTCCAGCTGCTGCAACTAGAACGCTTGACATTGGTAGAGGCGAGGCGACATGAGAGGAGGAAGAAGTTCAAACATTGTTAACAAAAAACCTAGTCTAAAGTTACATTATTAATTGGCTAATACCTAATCCAATGTAACTTAGGAAATCAAAATTACTAAATTAGTGCATAGTACAATTCACTCTATAGATAATTACTTTGTTCCAAGTCAATTGTCACGAGTCATTATAACAATGGAAACGAATGCTTTGCATGTAAAAGAAAAATGTAATGTCGGTGGATCTATAACTAAATGAGTGTTTGATTGAATATTCGAGTGGTCTAGAGATGGGGATTTATAAACACGGGCAGAAAAAAGGTATTTATTTACATTTTCTCACATTTCAAATAAGAAAAAGTCCATTTTATGAATATGTAATATTATTCATCCTGAATTTTTCAATGTCATTCGCTTTACAATTAATTGGATGCAAACCAGACATGTTTTTATTTGCTCACATACCACTGACCTCTCTTATCCCCTTCCCTCTACACAAGGTCTGGTGAGTACGCAGATCGAGGATGAGGATAGGAACATGATTCAGTGCCAGGTAACGGCGGTAACTGGAGTTTGCACGAAGCATGAGGGCAAGCCTGGTTGAGGAGGCGACCCGACAGAGGTGACCTTGTAGCTCACTTATTAACATGTTAATTTTAATATAAGCTATAAACTCATATAAACTCATAGTTGGCTTGCAAGTTTAATAATGAAGCCAACTATGAGAGAGCAAGTTTAATAATAGAGCCAACTATGAGCTTATAGCTTATATTAAATAGTTTCCCTGAAAAAAAAAGCTTATATTAAATAGTTAACATATATAATAAGTGAGCTACAAGGTTATCTTTTTTTTCTCATCCTCTCTCTATCTCTCACCTATGCATTTAATGTATTTATCTTGAACTATGTGAATAGCTAGTTCTTGTATGAGAGCTAACCTTCTCTATTTTTCAAATTCTCTTTTATCCACATAAGCTTATAGTTGGCTTATAGACTACAATAGTATACTTGCTCTAAGGATCCGACTAGCATGCAAAAGCAAAGGGGTAAGCGGTGGGTAATTCTTGTTGGGTGGCGAAGATAGTGCGTGGTTGGTTGGTGTTAGGCAGTGCTAGCCAGCACGATCGGCAAGGACAATGCTCTATAATCCTTAACTTGACCCCATCCACAACATTCTCCTCAACTCTATTATTTTGACCAAGACCATAGGGGAAGCCTCCACAATTAATACCTGTAATAAAAATAATTACAGCGTTCCAAGCCACAAAGATACAATATATAGATCGATCTCACAAAAAGATTAAGTCTAAAAACAAAAAGGTGGATGTCCTTTTTAAAAAGAGGCTCCAAGATTGAATAGAAGGTGTTACTTGCTGAAAGTTGAACCTATTTATTTGTTTCCAAATATTTCAAGCTGCATAAAGTATCTTTTCAATGAGATGAGACTGTTGGAAGAGATTAATTTGCAGCCTGCTGAAGCATTGATCCGGGACCAACAGATGTGTTAAAAAAATTGAAGCTTATGCCAACATTCCTTTCTAAAAGAACACTCAAAGAACAGATGCATATAAGTCTCTCTTATCTGATGATTACAGAGGACACAAGTATGATCAGTTCTTTCAAGTGCATACTTCATTCTATCTAGCAAATCTCCAGTGTTTAGACGGCCAATGAGCAATAACTAACTGAAAACCTTAATTTTCATAGAACATTTGCTTTTCTAAATCCATTTCAAGTATTCTGGTGGCGTTTTCAAAAAAAAAAAAGTATTCTGGTGGCTGCACTCCCATAAAATTCATAGCATATAGACCTTTTGAGAAGAGAAACTAGCATTGCCCCATATATATCTCCATTCATCTTTATCATGGGTAAATTCAGAGGAAGCATCCTGACTTTGCAATTGAGTAACCTCTTCATAAGTTTGCCGGGACAGTACGGCGAAGCATATTTTTGTGCAAGAGATTTATTAACAGCTTTATAAATTGAATCTGTCTTGTTTGTGGAATAAGAACATGCTCTTGTAAATTGTAAGGCTCTGACACTTCCATTCCATAAATCATCCCAATATAAACTTGATTTACCATCCCTATTTGGTAGCAGAAAAACTCTATTCGATAGACATTTTTCTCCTTTCCATGATGGCGGCCTGATCAAAATGCATGATTGTCAATGTTAAGACGCGTCGTCCATTAGTCCGATCCCCTAGCAGACTCTTATCCTCCCTAGGGCACCACTGTTCTGCCCTCTCCCACATTTAAGGCCTATTTAGTTGGCAAAAAAATTTTGCCCCTACATATCACATCGGATATACAAACACATATTTAAAATATTAAACGTAGTCTAATAATAAAAATCCGCTAGAAAACCGCGAGACGAATTTATTAAGCCTAATTAATCCGTTATTTACAAATATTTACTATAGTATCACATTATCAAATCATAGTGCAATTAGGCTTAAAAGATTTGTCTCACAATTTCCTAGCGGTTTTTTTTCATGACACCAAATTATGTTTTAGAACGGATTGGAGAAAGAACAATATAATGGCTTCCAGCCGCGTCATTGTTGTAGGCATCGTCGCGGCCGTTTTCACCGCCGCACTCGTCCTGTCAACAGTTGAGGGCGGCCAGCACCTGACTGCAGGTGGATCTGCAATCAGCGCTGTGCCTCGTCATGCAGGCCTGCGCCCATCCAGGGTGTGAAAAACCGCCGGTAACCGCGCGGTTACCGCGGTTACCGCCCGTACCGCGGGGGTACGGTTACCCGTACCGCGCGGTACGGTTTAATAAAATTCGTCCAAATTCAAAAATTTAAAAAAAAAAAGAAAAAAATCAAAAAAAATAGTGAAGGTAGTGCTTGATTTATAGTGTTTTATGGTAAAGAAATTTCTCAAAAAAGAGTAATATTTATTCAAATTTGAGAGCAAAACGGAGAATAAATTTGTAAATTGGAAAAAGAAAAAAAATGGGCCGGTCCGTTACTGTGCAACCCATTACACATCGCGCGGTAACCGCGCCAAACCGCGTGGTTACCGCGTCAAACCGCGCGGTAACCGCGCCAAACCGCGCGGTTTGCCCGAATTTTTGAATTCAAATTTCGATTTGTAAATTTGTCGCGGTTTTGCGCGGTTACCGCGGTTACCGCCGGTAACCGCCGTACCGCCGGGTGGCGGTAACCGGGACCCGGCGGTTTTTGAAACCCTGCGCCCATCTCGGCGTGCAGCACGCCCTGCAGGGTTCCAGCCTCACAGCTGTGTGGGCAGTGTTATAGATGGCCAAAAGGCCCGAGGCCCAACGGCCCGGCCCATGGCACGGCGTTTTGGCCCGGCCCAAGCATGGCACGGCCCGTCAAGGGTCGGGCCCGTGCCGGCCTGGCCCGACCACCGGGCCGTGCCTGGGCTTCTCCACCGGCACGTTGGGCCAGCCCGGCCCAGCCAGGCCGGCACGGCACGATGGGCCGCAGGCCAGGCCCGACACATAAATAATAGGGAGTAAAAATAGACATATTATATGCCACGGTCGAAAGAATAGGGACGTAAAATAGACTTATTTTAGCTATATATATGTCAGCCCAAAGAGGAGGGATGGAAATAGACTTATTTTCACTATATATATACGTACAGCCCAAAGAGGAGGGACGAAAAATAGACTTATTTTCGCTATACATATGTCACAGCCCAAATAGGAGGGACGGAAAATAGACTTATTTAAAAAAAGCCACGATGGGCCACCCGTGCCTTCGGGCCGTTCCGGCACGGCCCGATGGCTGGTGGGCTGTGCCTGGGCGGGAGGCGCAACCCATGGGCCGGCACGGCCCGGCACGAAGTGTCGATCGGGCCGTGCCGGCCCGATGGCTGGTGGGCCGTGCCTGGGCCAGGCCGTGCCGGGCGGGTCTTTTGGCCATCTATAGGCAGTGTGTATACCAGAATTGCACCAGTTTATGCTTCATCCACTGTTTCTCCCCATGCTTGCATAGGGAGACAGGGTGGTAAGAGAT